CGGAGATAGGGATCAGATCACCATTTTTGGTGAGAGCGCCGGGAGTTGGTCGGTGTCCGCACACATACTCTCCCCGCTATCCAAAGGCCTATTCAAGAGGGCTATTATGGAGAGCGGCGCTCAATTTGACAGCAAAGAGAGAGATGTGGTCAACAAAACTGAGGCCATATCTCAGGGCAAAGCAATGGCCACACAATTGAAATGCAATGAAACCGAGAATTGGATACAATGTTTGCGAAGAGCGGACGCCAACGATATACTGAAATGCGAGACTCAGTTCCCAATTAACCCGTTATTTGAAACAGAGTTTTTACCCATTACTGCCCAACAGGCTTTTGACCAGAAAAAATTTAATACAGGTAATATTTAAATTGATATCATTTAAATAATAAATAACTGTAATTAACAGTGTAAAATGTATAAAATTATTAACTAACAAAATATTATTAATTTTATACATTGTAAAATAGATATTGATTTACTGGTTGGCATAACACACGACGAAGCATCTGGGTTTATTAAAATTTTAATTAAAGACCCTGCACATATGACACTTTCTGACTTTAACAACGGGGTAAAATCATTTGATTTATTGGGTTATCACAATTTGAATGCAACTAAACTGACTGAACATTACCTAAAAAGTGTCAACATTAGCGATAGTCAGGCACTTCGCACAGCATTAAGTTCACTGTTAAGTGATTTAGTAATTAGTTGTCCGACATATCTGTTCGCCAAACGGTTAGCACAAACTGTCAAAGAGTCGCAAAGAGTTTACTTTTACGAGTTGTTTTATGGAAGCGAATATTTTGGTAAACAATCAGGGTGTGATGTAACGACCATGGGCATTTGTCACATGATGGACTTGCCTTTTGTGTTTGGTCTGCCACTACTTGATCCAAATCTTTACACTCCTGAAGATATTTTATTAAGTAATGTTGTGATGAAATTATGGACACATTTTGCCACTAATGGGTAAATAATACGATAATTATATCGTTTAAAGTTTATAAAAAAATTTTTTTTAAATTTTAGTCACTACGACTCTGATTGGCCGCAACTATTAAATGATAACCCGATGGGTATGCCTAAAGTGCACGGTATAGATCCCACAAACCTAACGCTCATATTGAATGATCCGTTTCATCAAACATGTGATGGCGTGTGGGCTCGCTATTTCTTATAACGTTAGATTAAAAAATTTCTTACATGTATGTAATTTGTTTATTTTATAGTAATAAAATGATTTACATATTGTTTTAATATAAGTTTTGTATAAACTATATGTCAATTAATGCAAAAAAATAAATATTTGACGTGAACAATTTGATTTATTATATTTGAAAATTTTAATACTTTATAACCTTATTTTGATGTCTGAAATAATATAACCGTATAGTTTAATACAAACGTGAATACCTGTAAAATATTTATCATAAAAATCAATTTTGAAATATTTAATGATTTTATAATTAATTTTATGTAAACCGAAATAAATGTTGATTTATTGATTTGAGCGAATCCTCCGATAGTTAAGCCAAACGTATGACTATTTCTAACAGCAGTCGTAAACGTAAGCCATTCCCTGTACTCACTGTCCGACATATCCCTCACATTCAGACCATTCAATGCATCACTCATTTTATTACGTTTTGCACTCAAACTATCGCATAAAATAAATGTTACAACGATCTCGATAATTTTGAAAACTGTTAACATGCTT